GGCGTCGCCGTCCGCCCACGCCGAGGAGGAAGCCAAGCCGACCGGTCGGGCAGGGCAGCCCGTCGACAATGAGCAAATCGGCCGACCGGCCGCGCCGCCCCGCGCCCCGCCACGGCCCCACCACGGCGCGCCGGCGGGCCCACAACAATATTCCAGCCGGTGGGGCGGTGGGGGCCGGCCGCCGCCTCGCTGCACCTCGACGTAGTGCCGTGCGGCTACGCCTAGGCCAGGCTGCGCCGGGCTGCGCCGGGCTGCGCCGCGCGCGGGGCATGACATTCACAATGGCCGTTACAAGGGTCCACGCCACCACACAACACGCCGCCAGCCGCCAGGCAGCGTCGCGACGCCGACGCCCCACCGCGACGCGCGCCCTCCCCTCCAGCAGCCCGCGCCCCGCACCGCCCCGCCACCCGCAGAGAAAGTGTTTCCTTCTCTTCTCCTCCGTGCTCCTCCTCTCCTTCCTCTCCCCTTTTACCGTCTCCGCCGCGTACCCATTCCACTGGTTCGCCTGACGCGCGCTGGCCGGGCTGGACGACGAACCCGCGGGCCGGATAGATTACGCCAGCCCTCCGCGATTTGGCCTTCGCGCTGCTTCGCGCCCCGCCCAGCCTCGGCGTTCGGCGGCCCTGCCCGGCCCTGCCCCCGCCCCCGCCTCCGCGCTGCATCGGCTTGGCGCGCTGCGCCCCGCGGCCCCACGGCCCCGCGGCTGGGGATCGCTGGTCGCCCGGAGAGGCGTCTTGCATTACAGGAAATGGACGCCAGCCGTTCACAACAAGGACAATAATGGCAACCGCGACCGCAAAAAAAGATAAAGAAATCGTTTTTCTCGATAGTGTAGCTAGGTCCAATGATCTGTTCCTAAATGGGACAACAGCACGCGCCCCGCGACTCCACTGGCCGGTCGGTGGCCATCCCAGGAACTAAACCAACACTGCTCCCACTCAGGACAGCACTCTGCTTCTTCATTCACTGGCGTCAAACAAAGCGTCATTGTGCTCCTGTATCGAGCGTCAACTTCCCGTGGCGCCCCGGACCCGGCCGGCCGGCCAGTGGCGGTGCAGCGCGCGGCGCGCAGCCTGGCCGCAGCCTTACACAAGACATTATGGTCACTAGTGTGGGCCGGCCGGCCTGCCTGCCTGATGGGCGCGCGGCCCGCCGCAGCCCCGGAAGCGTGGCGGTGTGGCGGTGCGGGGCGTGGCCGCCACGACGGGATGGGCGACCGACGTCCACGTGCACAATGCGTGCAAAGCGGCGCGAAGCACGCCGAAGGAAGCCGGTCATTGAGGCCAGGACGCGCAGTTGCAGGCACCCACGGACCGCGGTTCGAGTCCCGGTGGCGGCACCGCGGGCATGCCCCGGTCGTCGACGACGGCCTCGGCGAGGAGTCCTGGGCTTGAGACTCAAGACGCCCTTTCATTAAGCCCCGGCGCGATCCTGGACCCACGCGGCCAACTGCCGAGCATCGGCCGGCACGGCGTTGAGGGGCTTAAGCGGCTTCAGAGCTTGACCCATTGTGCGCGTGTTCGGTTTTGCTTTCCGTGGGCTGCTTACAATAGCCGCTCGCTCCAACCTCCGGTCAGGTCAGCCAGCCTCCAGCCAGCCTCCAGCCAGACGCCGACGTGGCTGTCCCCACCAGTTTGCAAACTGCACCCGCGGCTGGCCGTTCGGCGGTTCATTACACGCGCGAACTGTCCGGACACCCGACACGCGGCACACTGTACCGCGGTACGGAGGAGTTGGAGGGGGCATCAAGATAGCGACGCGGACCGATGCGGCGCGCCCATTGCCTAACGACTGCCTGCCGTGCCTGCCGTGCCTGCCGTGCTGCTGGGGGGCCGGTGCGTGATAACCCCTTGACGGCGACCTGGGCCAACCTGAGCGCTGCGGGCGGGGAAACGTGGCGGCGGCCGCGACGACGGCAAAGGCAAACGTGCCGCGCCGCCCGGGTCGGCAGGGCCCGCCCAATCAATAAAGAGACCCGATTTACATCACGGCGGCAGGTGGCCGCGCCCACTCACTCCTCGCCCACTTCCTTGCGCGCCAAAATCAGAACCATTTTCGCGGAAAAAGAATTGTAACAAAGAAAGGTACGGGAACAAAGCTGGAATCCTTCCGGCCCGTTGAGCCCGTCACGAGCAGCTCGCGGCCAAGCGCGCGGCCGACCGCGGACCCGCCCGCCCCATTCGGTTTGTCAACGCTGATTGGTCGGTATTGTCTCGGCAGCGCCGCGGCCCGTGGCGGTCGTGATCCGATACAAGCACAACAACGGACTAGAGTCCCACAGTGCCGCAGCGAGGCGGCGAGGCCTGCCCGCTGTCCGCGGCCTCGCTGCCCACCAATCCACCGATCACCGGCCGCCGCGGCCACGCGGAACGCCACTGGAAAGCTGCCATTCATTTCCCCTATTCAGCGCGAAAAATAAATCTCAGGTGTACATGAGGCACGGTGGTCGTCGGCGGGGAGGTGTTGCGGCCGCGAGGACATGACACACGGCGGCGAGAGTGCCGCCAGCCCGCCGGCCGACGGCAAGGGGAGGGGAAGGGGCGTAGAGAAGGAAGAAAAGTTAAAGCAGCGCGCCGCCGGGGTTTATAACGCCGATGCGTGATGCGTGCGCCGCGAGCGCGGCACGGCACGCGACCGTCACGACAGTGCACGACAGCCGCGGACTCATTCCGAGTCTTTCCTTTCCGTCCCGCGGGCCGCGGCGCCGCGGCGATCGGTGACGTCACAATGCGCCGTTCGGCGGGGCGTTCGGGACGGACCGGCACGCCGGCGACGCGGCCTCGGCTCGGGTTCCGTGGGTTCCGTATTCCCAGCCGTTCCATCCATCGACGCGACCCGCGCGGCGTCGGGTGCGGCGTCGGGTGGCTCAGGGCGTCGCGACGCCGCGCCAGGGGGCAGGCGAAGCAGCGGGCGAAACAGGTCAGAGGAACGGCGGGGCGGCGCTGTGACGAAGGAGCGACGGACGGTGCAGCCACCGTGGCACCAGCCGAGCGCAAGGAGCAGCGCGTCACGCCGGGACTTCCCTAATTTTCATCTGCCGCCGCCACTGCCGTAGAATTTGCTCCCGGCCAGAAAAAAAGGCAGAAAACAATCCGGTGCCCGGGGCAGCAACGCGTGGTGCTCACAGTGCAGGAGTCGCCCCGGGGGAAAGGAGTGCACCTCCGGGGCTAATTCATTGCCGACGGGACATTTTCGTTCCGCTTCTGCCCTTGGAGCATTTCTTTCCTCTGCCTCGGAACTCGGAGCATTCCCTCTGCCCAACAACTTGATCGCTCCACGCGGGGTGCTCGTGTCCGCGCTCGGTAACCGAGATAGCGGCCCTCCATGTTCATGAGGACGCTGGAGGTGTCGCGCGGACAGCCAATCACAGCGCGGCGTCTGTCTGTCTGTCTGTCTGTCTGTCTGTCCGCCCGTCCGTCCGCAGCGCCACATACGCGGCGCCGGCAAGCCCCGCCTGGATCCGGGTGCGGACGAGGCGACGCGAGTCCGGTTCCACGACACTCTTCAGGAGGGAGATATCAGAGAGGCCGCCACTGCCAGGCGCCTGCACTGCCAAGACTGCTGCCGTGCACGAAACACGTAACAGGTGTATACCGCCTCGCCTCCGTAATTGGCCCATGGTTTACGGACGACCCCGATTCGATAGCCAATTCGGCCCCGGGCGGGCCGGGCCGATCGCTTTATCGGTGCCGGGGGACGCGACGGCGAGGAGCACGGCGAGCACGGCGAGCAAGGTGAAGGCCGTTCGGCGAGCACCCTGGGGGACGCGCACGAGCGCACCGCCGCGAAGGGAGGGCTCGCCGATACACACACCGCCGCGCCGCACCGCCGGGCCGCCGGGCCCCGCCACCGTCGCGCAATCAAACAACAACAACAGGGCAAACAAGAAGAAACGACGCGCGGAGAACGAAAAAGAAGCACGAACCGCCCTACATTTCACTTCCAACGAAAGACTCGGTGAGCTATTTGCTGGCGGCTCGCGCACTGACAAGTTGCTGCCCCCGATAATGTAGTGCCGGCGTCGTGCGCGTACGGGGCACTCATTCCATTAGCGCGCGGCCAGAGGCAGAGAGGGAGGTGGGGTAAATAACGTGTAAATGTCGCAAGAAAGCGGCCGCGAGGTACATAAAGCGGCGACCGGTGAAATGTCTCAAATGCAGGCTCAGAGCGCTTGACCCCTCCAGTGCCTAGCCGGCCTAGCCTAGCCAGCCCGCTCGCCTCACACATCATTGTCACTCGGCCGCCAGGACGGCCTGGACGCCAGGAGGCAGTGCTGGACAGAAAAGGAATGGCCCCGCGGCGGCTTCCACGTCGAGCGGCACTCTGATTCCGAGAGTCGTTTTCGTCGCTCTGTCTCCCTCGCACTCACGGGGCGTCCCGTATGGGTGCGAGCGAGGCAGAGCGACGAAAACGACTCTCGGAATCAGTCTGCTACAAAGGCGGCGAGGCGAGGCACGGCGCGAGGCGAAGCGAGGCGAGGGGGTTCGAATCGAAATCGCCAACACTGGCGCGCGAGCCCTGCCGCTATCCTTGCATAACAAAGATTGCTATCTTTTGTCGAGTTTAGTTGTTTGCACAGACCCCGTTCGGCGCGGCACAGGTCGGAAAGAGAGGCACGCTTCTTGAAGCGTAGAGAAACATGAAATCCAGGGCTGGGGCTGCTGCTCTGGGGCTGGGCCGTGCTGGCCGTGCTGGCACTGGGCCCCTTGCACCACGCACCGCGCACGTACGGTCACGTGTTCGATTTTAGAGCAGAGATATTATGCAAATGAGGTGGCCAGGCAGCGGGCCCATTCGAGTGTGCGCGCGTACCGCGGTCCTTGATTCGGGGAAAAATGAAAAGGACACTGGCCGGAGACAAGGCCATGGGGGCTTCGAGCGCGGTCGCGGGGTTACAGTGGCGCGGAGGGCAGACTGGGGAAAGCCTCTTGGCTACAGGGAGGGTCACGAGCAGCTCGCGGTGCTGGCGGTGCTGGCGGCCAGGACCCTGGACTCACCGTTTGGTTGTGCTGGTGGTGGCGCGCCAACGCCTCGACGAAGTCGCACGGGAACAGCCCACTCCTGCCGTTGAGCGAGCCGCACAGCCAGCCTGCGGGGAGGGGAGGGCAGACACACTGTTAGCCTGGCCGTCCTGCTGGCTCGGTTTGCCGGCCGGGGCGCCTTTTCGTTACCTTTCTGCAGGTGCTGGTCGCGGTTGATGAGCCGGATGACGTCACCCTTCCGGAAGCTGAGCAGCGATTGGTCGTGGCTGACGTGGTCCTGCACGCCGCGGACGAACTCCTGTCCGCCCTGGAGAAAGAAAAACAACCGATGTTCAGTAGCGTACACACACCAGTGCACAAACACGCCCAGTAGGGCGGCCGGCGCTTACCTTGCAGGCCTCCAGGATAAACCTATGCAGCATTGTGTGGACTTGGTTGGCACGGTGAGTGTACAGCAGCACGCGACCGCCAGCGGACAGCATGAATTGCACACTGCTAGACTTCGGCATAGTCACCTCGGCAATTTCATCAAAGCTAAACAACGGAGAAACGCCGATTTCAATTATGGTAACTTGAGAAAGGGAGGTGAGATGAACTTAAAAATCAGTTCGGAGCGTCACTCACGTGAATGTGTCGAGGATATGCAGGTAATCATGTGGAACACTTTTTTCTTTTCTTACTAATCTTACTCCAGAATGAGATATGGCAAGGAATTGAACGTCAGGATTTTGATGGCCACCCTGGAACATGAAGGGCAAATGCGATGAGATAAAGCCTCGAAATCATAGTGAAATTAAAATAAATTGCACTTGGTGTCAGAACTGACCGAAACGGGGAATATCCTAGCAAAGTAGACATTCCACTGCTTGGCCATGTCCACCACGTTCTTCTTAATGGTATTTTTATGATGAGCAGACTGCAGGTTGTTCAGTGTGACACCATAGTTATCCAGCATCTAGAAAAATAAAAACAGACAATAAATATCCGATTTGAACAAAAAAGATTTAAAGTTAAGGCAAACTTAGGAGTGATCCCCACCTTCCGCATGCTGGCCCTCTCCTCGCGCCCGATCCTGATGCAGTTGGGGCTGAGGGTGTCCTGCACGATCTGGCAGAAGACGAGGTGCAGCGCCAGGGGCGTGGACAGGGCCTCGTTGGGCGCGAACACCTCCTTCTTGATGTTGAGGCGCCACGGCACGCGGTTGTACGTGAAGTACGCCGCGCTGCTGGGGTTGAACAGCTTGGTCTTGGTGGTCTCCACCGAGCGGTCCAGGTCACGCCGGTCCAGCATGAGCGGGGGGCTCGAGTCCACCGGCTGCAGGAACTCGGACGACTCTTCGACTGGGGTGAAGAAACAATGTTGTTAATCGATTGTCTCTTAACACAGCACTCTTAATGATTTTTGGAGCAATCCGCGTACTTTCAATCCTCTCCATGACGTCGGTGTGGTGCGTGGACACGGAGGCGCGTCGGTGGTCCATGCGGTCCATGCGGCCGGCGGGCGAGCCGCCACGGCCCGGCGAGCTGCCGCGCCCGAACAGGTCCCTCTGTCCGTCTGGCTGCCGCACGGGCTGGATGGGCGGGGGCGGCGACCGGGGCTGCGGGATCCCCGGGGTGTTGCTGTGGACAAAGGGGCAGGGCGCATTTCGGGCATGGCCGGACATTTTAATTACATTTTTTTCCACGCGCCTTTTACACGCTTTTCGCCGCGTACCTTTGGGAGTAGAAGCTGTTGGTGCGGCTGGCCGGCGTGTGGTGGTTGACCTGGGGCTCGGCGTTGTAGTGGGGGATGATGGGCGGGGGCGGCGGCGCCGGCTTCCACCCCGTCATGCTGGCGTTGGCGCTGTGCGAGGCCGCGTTGTTGGGCTTCTCCATGCGCTCCACCTGCTCGCCAAACGCCGGGTTGGTAATGAGATGGGGGTGGGGGACCACGGGCCGTTGGCGCCGTAGGCCATACGGCCGTTCACGTACCTGGCTGCGGACGTTGCTGATGGGCTGCGTGTCCGCTTCCTTGGAAGCACCTCGCTGAACAGCGTCCACGGAGTCCACACTGCCCCAGCGGCCCGCTGCGTCAAGAGGACGGCGTCAGACAACGCAACAACTACTTCATTTCGACAAACACAAAAAAAAAGTTTACTCTTACCAAGCTGCTGCTCCAGCAACAGTTTGCGGTCATCTTGCAGCTTGGAGACTGTGCGCTGCGGCCCGTTGGGCTGCATGTTGTTCAACAGCGACAAAGCTGGCTTCTCAGTCTTGGTGGTGGAACGAAGGCTGTGGTTCGCCGTGACTAACTCCAACTTGCTGCGCATCTCTGAGCTTATTCTTAATTTCCCTACACTGCTAGGACTGCTCGCAGAGTGCAGGTCCAAATTTGACCTGACGATATTGCTTTTATTTTTGTCGGCGATATCTCTTTTGTTACTAAGGTTGCTGGTACTACTACTCTTCCTGGGTGGCTCCAGACTAGTTGGACTGCTGTCCATTTCAAACTCCTCCCATTCTACCCCTTCTCCATTCTCACTTGTATCCTGTAAACATGCAATGATGCCTCCGGGTGAGTAAACTGCTCCACAGTTAGTGACAGCAGGAATACGTAATTACGAAGCACAGGCTTACATGGCTAGACTTCTGTGGTGACACTTTCCGCTGCTGCTGCCGGAGCTTGAAGTGCAGGAAGCTGTCCGCGTTCTCCCCGTTGTCCTGCGGGGGCGGCCACCTCCACTTGCCTATCCTCACCGTCTTGGCTCGGCCGTAGGGGTCCAGGAACGGCCGCACTTCCGACGGGTCCATGTGCTCGGGCGGGGGCGGCATGGGGGGTGGTGGTGGAGGGGGGATGCCCTGGAAAGGGGGCGTTGTGGACAATGTCAGCAACAACACAAACAAATCCCAGCCCAGTTTACCAAATTTAATAAAAGAAAGAATTAATTGAGGCAATAAAGGCATTAGAATTTCAGCTTGCGAAATTGGGGTTGTTGCACAAATGTTTCTCAACCCCCACTGACAGTTTCTAGACCGACAATATCAGTCAACGGGGGTTTTCAGAGACCAAACCATTGAGTCGCTTGAGAACTCAATGCCTACAAGCCATTAAATTAAAAATGAAAAATAAAGCTTGCTAACCCTGCTGTTAGACTGGTTAGAGTCGACTGAACTCTTGCGACTGCGAAGCTCTGAGAGCACACTGGTAAATGCAGTGTGTGGGTTAGATGGGCTTCGAGTGAGGCTGGCCTTGCGAGGGGTGCCGGAGTGCGTTGGGGACTGCGAGCGGTGGACCTGTATCACAGCCAAGCCAATCAATAATCTTTGCAGGCGTGCAGAGCAGAGAGTGGATGCTTTAGTGGCTGTCAAAAACTGCTCAAGTTAGTGACTTCAACAATATTATTAAATGGTTAAAATAAACAAAACTCATGTCAATTTATGCATTTGATTGTAAAGAGAAATAAAGCTTATCTATTACTTCTCACTGCAGAAATAATATTATGAACAACAGCTAAATTGAAAAAACAAACAAACTTATGTACAAAATCTAAGAAAAATGCTAACTACTCTAAACTAAGACTCGAACGTGAAATCTAGCTTTCATGCTCCATTCCGCATGACAACCGCACTCCACTAATGCCATTACAGAATGCCACAATGCAATGTGTTAAGCGCCACTGGCATGCAATGATGGTGCTGACCTGTGCTCTGGTGACGGTTGTGAGCACAGGTTGGATTGGTGTAGATCTTGCTTTGGGTGGCAGTGGTGGTCCAGGGCTTGATATTGAGTTCTGCTGCTTTTCAGTCGACCACAAATCTCCGTTCTCCGGCTCGCGGAAAGATACCTGGTGCAATAAACGTTGAAAAACCAAGCGTTCTACAGGAACTACTATCGAAACCTTAAAAAAGAGCCTAGGGTTAAGCTTTTAAGGTAAAGCTTAGCAGAAGCAACGCAAATCGGCAAAAGCTCTGACATCTATAATTAATGCAGAAAGAGGGTTTTACAAAGCCATAAGAGAGTTAATTAAGAAAAACTACAAAAACTGTTAACAGAATTGAACAAGCTTATAAAATGTATACCTTTAATACCCGCTCCACCTCAGGCTCATGATCAGACTCTACAGAGGACGGTGCCGAAGCTGATGACTCAACAGCAGACTGTTCTTCCGAAGGGCTGGCAGCTTGAGAGGGCGCTAGCGAGGCGGGCTACCAATTCGAAGCGAATGCAAGTGCAAGCATAAAAATAAAGAACAACAATGTTAGGTGCAGTGCGAAGCGTAGTCAAGCGGTAGTTTGTGTTGGTCGCAGGCGCGCTGTGGATTAAAGGGTCAGGTCTACTGGCGAAGCGTTTTGTTTCGACTACGAGCAAGGCAGTGCAGAAGAGGAAGGCCGGGCGAATACTCACGGGAGTCTGGCCGCTGCCGGACTGGCCGGACGCGTTGGGCGAGCTGGCCTGCGTCTGCAGCAGGGTCTGCAGCGCCTGGTTCTGGGCGAGCAGCTGCTGCTGGATCTGGATGTTCTGCGCCATGGCGGACTGCAGGAAGGCCCGCTGCAGGCTCTGCTGGTACGCCACCATGGTGGGGTCAGACATGAGGCTGCTGGGCTGCTGGCCGCTGCCGGAGCCTTGCGGGCTGAACATGGGCATGGCCGGCACCCCGGGCATCATGAGCGGCGGCGGCGAGATCATGCCCGTCATCAAGGGCATCATGGGGGTGGGCGACGTCACGTTGCCGATGGGCGTGAAGCCGAACGCCGCCGTGGACTGGGACTGCGTGGCCGTCTGCTGCACAAGCAACACGTCAGCGTCGTCCTCGAGGCGCACCAAGTGCAGCACAGCGAGCACACCCACCTGTCTGGTCTCGATGCCGCCCAGGCCCTGGCCGCCGCCCTTGATGGCGTTGGCCAGGGTGTCGGCGCGCGTCAGCCGCCGCAGCGACTCGTTGACGAAGATGGGTTGGAACAGGTCGCTGATGTAGTCATCCACGTTCTGCACGGCGCCGTGTCCATGCGCTCCTCGGCTGGCCAGCGTGGAGGGCGTGGACCCCGTGAGGGTGGCCACCTCGTCGTCCGCGTCGCTGTGCCTGCTTTGCGTCGACACGCGGCGCGCCACGGCACCCTGGGGGTGGTGGTCGCCGCCGCCCTTGATGGAGGCGGCTAGGGAGCGGGCGTCCGACAGCTCGTCCAGGTTGCCGTCGAGCACCGGCATGAACAGGTCGTCCAGGAACTGGTCCACGTCGGACGCCTGGGACGGCACGCGCACGCGGCGGACGTGCGACGCTGGAGAAGAAGAAGAAACAAATTAAAAAGACGATTAAGGAGAATAAAACTAAGCGTTGGGATTTGAACCAGCGACTTACCCAGAGAGGGCGCCTCGCTCGTGTCCGAGAGCGCGGACGACTTGGCGCCGTACTCGGACTTCTCCGAGTTGCGGCCCTCGATGTAGGCGCGGCTGGAGTGGCTGCCGGGCGCGGCGCGCTTGCCCGCGTAGTGCGACTTGATGAAGCGCGGGTGGCCGCGGATGTAGCTGCCCTTGTCGTCCTCGCTGCGGCAGGCCTGCGACGCCTGCGACGCCATGTCGGGGTAGTCGAAGTCCAGCAGGTGCGGGTGGCCGACGTGCTGGCCGTGGTGGCCCAGCAGCTCCAGCGCCGGGTCTGGCTTGCTGCTCAGGCTGTACTTGCGGGGCGAGTCGCGGCCGCGCTGGCTCACTGACTCCAGGTTGTCCTCCATCATGGCCTCGGACTTGGTCATGTACTCCTTGTTGCTGACGGCCGAGAGGCGCATGAGAGGCGGCTCGGGCACCACGGCCCCGCCGGGGAGACCGCCGCCGTTGCTCACGCTGGGCGACATGCCCCGCGGCGGCAGCATGGCGGCGTGCGGCATCTTCTCCATCGAGTGGTAGCGGTCGTTGAGGCGGCTCTGCGACAGCCCCAGCGACTCCAGCTTGCGGGGCGGCGCCATCTCCTGCAAAGCGAACACAGTCAACATTCTGAATGGAAAGGAGCGCCTGTCACGAGACAGGGTAGGCCAGCCCGCAAGACAGCCGTGCGCGGCGGGACAGCATCGCCGACCTCGCAGGCGCTACATCGAGGCACTCACCGATTCCAGCAGGTTGTCCAGACTGCGGCTGCGGCCCGGCTTGTCCTCGAAGTAGCGGTCGTTGAGGGCGGACTTGCGCGACAACCCCATCTCCACGGTGTGGTCGCGCGACTGCGAGCGCAGGCGGCCCGGTCCGTTGGACGCGCCGTTGACGGCGGCGTGCTGCTTCTTCTTGCTCTCCACTGGCGGTTCCCGCGACATCTTCCTGGCAGCCTGTGGCAGGAGGAGCACGTCAGTAGCGACAGGTTTGGGTGATGCCTGCACGGCGAACATCTCAGCGGTACTCACGGGCTGCTTGGGGACGGGCGGCTCCGGCGGTGGCACGCCGGGCCTCCTCGTCGGCGACGGCAGTGGCGGCTCGTCGATCTCCACGTCGATGGGCACGGCGACGGGGCCGGCAGGCGTGGCCAGCACCTTGCTGTTGCCCGTGCTGCTGGTCCGCTTGGGGCGGTCGGGCGAGGACAGGAAGCTGTTCCTGCAGGCCGGGAAGGCCGGCGCCAGCTCCATCTCGGCCACCAGGTCCAGCACGTAGTCGTAGCCCGCGCTGTCCTTGACGCCGGGCTCTAGGCCCAGGTCGCTGCCGCTCGTCGCGAGGCTCACGCTCCAGCCGCCGCACTCGGCGATTCCGCGCTCGCGCACCACCAAGGAGGCCAGCTCCTCGCTCGTGGTCCACGCCTCGACGGGCGTCATGCGCTGCTCGCCGTCGGCGAAGTGCACCGGCAGCGCCATGTTGACGCGCTTGCGGTTGGCGCGCCACTCCAGCAGGCAGGGCGGGTAGGTGCGCGCCACGGCGGGGCTGTCGGGCACGCGGTCCTGGCCCTGGCCGCTGGCGCCGTTGGCCGCGCCCACGCGCGCGCACTGCGACTGCAGCAGCTTGCGCTGGCACACGGCCTTGTAGCCGTCCCAGCCGTGGTCCGAGACGTACCTGAGGGCAAGCGCGGTCAAAACACGCCGACCAACCCCCACGCCTTCAAACTCGGAACCAACACTCACTTGAGCAGGAACTTGTAGAGGGTGGGCGAGGGCGGGAAGCAGGACAGGCAGTTTGCCAGCAGCAGCCAGCCGCGCTCGTTGTTAGCATCCTTCTCGTTCTTCCACGTCTGGTTGCACAGCTGGCACAGGATCTCGTCGCGGAGACGCTCGTTGACGATGCCCTGCAAGGCGGAGGGGCGGTTCGCGTCACCGGGCCACTAAGGACACCCCAACAAGGCCACAAACGGCCACACGTTGCCACCCACCTTGTTCACGATGTAGTCACCGAGCGCCACCTCCTTCTTGCCGTTCAGGTTGTTGTCGTTCATGAAGCGCAGGATGAGCTTGAAGATGGCCAGCGAGTCCTGGTAGTCGATGTCCTTGGACTTGGCCAGGAACGGCGTCTTGATGGGCTCCCGCTTCATGCCCCACAGGTGCGACTTGAAGTACACGTTGGTGAACTTGGTGAAGGCGTGGTAGTCGATGTCGTTCGGCAGGAAGTAGCGGTCGGGCCGCGGGGGCACGCCACCCACCACCTTGACCAGGTTGCGCTCCGTGTGCGTGGGCTGCCAGTCTGCGGGCGAGAGAGGTTGGGCGTTTCGCCGTTAAGCACCCAGCGAGGCGCGCATAGCGGCCAAAACAAAAGTAACTACACCCACCATCCAGCTTGCTGAAGATGAAGGCCAGCTCGGCGGGGATCTCCAGGTGGTTGACGCCGGCCACGGCTCTGGACGTGCGCTCCTGCTCGTCGCGCTGGGCCTTGGCCTTAGCGCGCTCGCGGGCCACCTTCTCCACCTCGGACCGCCGCTTCAGCTCCTCCTGCGACGCAGAGACAAGTCATCACAACTGCGTAAGGCTACTTCACCGTGAGGGATCGTGAAGCACTCACCTTGAGCTCCAGGTAGCGCTTGCGCTGCCGCTTGGCGCGGAAGTTGGCCTGCGCGCGGACCACGCCCGTGCGGATCGCGCGGAACTTCTTGCGCGCCGAGTAGCCCTGACGGCGGCCTGCAGCTTGACGGCGCTGCGCTTGCACGCGCGGTACCGCCGCCGCGCCAGGTAGCCGCGCACGTGTCGCTGTGGGCAGAGAGGACGCCGTCAACGCCGCCAACGAGAACTAGAGCACCGCGTACCGCGACCGCCACACCCACCTGCACCATCACGGCGGCGTCCCTCAGGATGTCGGCGCGCTCCTTCTCCAGCCTGCGCTCCAGGTTCTCCCTCATGAAGACCCTGGTGGTGCCCAGCTGGTAGTCGTGGCCGCCCTGGTCCGTCTGGTCCAGGATGGCGCGGCACAGCTCCCGGTAGGGCGCGCCCCTGGGCAGGCTGCAGCCGCGCGGCTGCAGCAGGTAGCGGTAGCGCTCCACGAAGTGGGCGAACTTGAGGCGGATGGGGTAGCCCGTCTTGCGGATGCGGATCGTCTCCAGCATGCCGGTGTAGCGCAGCTGCTCCAGCACGATGGGCATGTCCAGCTTCATGGGGGCCTTGTCGTTGTTGGGCTTGATGCACCGCACGAACCAGGGGTTGCACTTGGTCATGGACTCCAGCAGCTGCTGCAGCGAGTCGTGGAAGCGGGCCGCCACTGTGGGTGTCCGGGGCTTCATGGTCACGAAGCGCCCGTTGGCCTTGTTCAGCGTCTTGGCCGTCTCGTGGTGCGAGCGCACGCTCTGGAACATGCGGCTCAGCATCTGCGGGAGAACAAGCCGGTTAGCACAGCCAAGACAAGGGTGGAGTAAGATGGGAGGCGAAGCGAAGCTCACCGTCACTTTGCTGTTGATGAGCAGCTCCACGACGTCGGGCCGCAGCGTGTCGCGGTTCTTGTCCAGGAAGCCCTCCACGTTGTACCACACCTGGCCGGCGTAGTGCCTCACGCCGAACTCCAGGCTGGACATCCGCGGCCGCGAGTACAGCTCGTCCAGCGCGTGGTTGTAGTGGCACTTCTCCAGGAAGGACAGGTCAGACGCCTTGGGGAAGTTGGACTCGTCGTCCAGCAGGTGCAGGATGCCCACGGGCTTCTTGGCGATCAGGTTGATGACGGGCATGTTGTCCTGGGGGAAGGAAAGAGAGTTACAGTACAGGTAGCACTGCGAAATAATGCAACAGTAAGGCAAGGGATGCTCACATTGTAAGTGATGGTTTGCCAGTCGATCTTGTCGCGGGCGTACTCCTGCTGCTCCAGCTTGAAGATGTGCTTGTTGAAGTAGAACTGCAGGTTCTCGTTGGCGTAGTTGATGCACAGCTGCTCGAAGCTGTTCTCCTTGAAGTCCTCGAAGCCGAAGATGTCGAGGATGGAGATGGCGGCGGTGCGCTTGGTGCCCTTGAACACGATGCTGTTGATGCGCTGCACCAGCCACGAGAAGAGCGCGCTGTACAGCGCCTTGGCGAAGGCGTCCCTCGCGTCCAGGGCCTGGTCGATGCTGAGCGGCGTCAGCAGCCGCTCGTTGCGCGCCTCCGTGGTCTTGGTGGTGAGCGCGCGCTTGATGCCGTCCACGTTGAGCTGCAGCAGGTGGCCCGTCCAGCGGATCTCCGCGTCCGAGCCGATCTCCACGCCCTCCGTGCCGTGCTTCAGCTGCTTGCGGTGGAAGTACACGTTGCCCAGGTGCAGCACTGCAGGACAGAGACGAAGAGTTTCAGGAGGAGCTAACTGAACTGCTACACTCTACCAACGTTTCGACCAACTTTGCGGCAACACTGCTCCTGAACAAAGGCGGGAAATCGCAAAAAGTCACGCCATAGAAAGCCGCTGAGATTACTGCCCCGTTGAAGGAGTATGATTTCCCGGCTTTGATTGGACGCAGTGGCCACCTTAAGTCAGCCACCTTAAGCTTAGTTTTTTTTCTCACCTGACGCCAGGATGCGGAAGATGTTGTCCTGCTCGTCCATGGTGAAGCCCAGCACCTGCATGGCGGAGAGCAGCGACTGGAAGTCCTCGCTGTCGTACTTGCCATCGATCTCGCAGCTGCCGCCCTGGTTGAGGTAGAAGTACTTCTCGGGGGTGAGCAGGCCGTACTTCTGCTTCTGCTCGGCCGACAGCCCCGTCAGCATCTCGTAGAACACGTGGTAGTTGCGCTCGTCCTGCGCCTGCGTCACGATGCGCGACTTCTCCAGCAGGTACTCGGTCACCTTGGCGCCGATGATCACTCCCCTGGAACGGAGAGCAAAATTAAAAACTCAATGACCGCGAGCCGCTTGTCCCCCACCACCCTCACCACCGCTCGGACCCGGTCACTCACTCTTTGAAGTGCACCTCGAGGTATTTCCCGAAGCGAGACGAGTTGTCGTTGCGGACGGTCTTGGCGTTGCCGAAGCTCTCGAGCAGCGGCGACGCCTCCAGGATCTGCTCCGTGATGAGGTTGGACGGGGACTTGTTGACGGCGGCCAGGTACTGCATCACCAGCTTGGTGGACTCGGTCTTGCCCGAGCCGGACTCGCCCGAGATGACCACCACCTGGTTCTGCCGCTCACCCTCCTTGCTCAGGTGGGCGTACGCCGACGAGCCGATGGCGAACAGGTGGCTGCAAGAAAATGACGCGTCAACTGCTTGTGTTTTTTTTTCTTTCGAGTAAATCAACCCTCGACTCCTGTACACATCCAAAAGATAGGCCAGCAAACGCTTTTTACACGCTCCGCGACAAGATCGTAAAGCCAACGCATAAAAAACTTACGGTGGTAGCGTGCCAAGAATCTGCCCCTCGTATTTCTTGACCATGTCCAGGCCGTAGATGTCGGACATTTTGTAAGGGTTGACCGCCACCAGGATGCTGCCGGTGTACGTCTGGGCAGAGAAACGCAGTTACAAGATTAGCCTGCCAAACAGGGCGAAAACGAACACAGGAGAAGGCAAACGCTTACGTATATCAACTCTCGGTCGTATCTTATTTTCAGGTTCCATAGTAGTGAGGCCTCGTTCAGATCTCTGCAAAGACGAACACAGCGTTAGTACCGGTCTGGCAGTGTGACGGGGCGGGGCGGGCCGCCACCCCGCGGCGTGCTGGCGTGCTGGCGCTACTCACGAGAGCTGGATCATGTCCTCCACGCCCTGCTGCCCCAGGTCCTGCCGCCGGCGCACTCCCGCCAACGACGTCAGGGTGAAAACTTGGGGCTGGAACAGACAGGGAAGCTGCTTTTATTTTCCTGGACAACAAGACGTGAAGCTTGGCGGCGCTCGGCGCGGCGGGCCAGGCGGTTTAGCGTCGGCATTCCTGTCGCCTCTGGGGCGCCGCGTCGCCGCGTCGTGGGAAAGGGCGCTCTTGGCGAGGCCGCGCGGCCGGCGCGGAGGACGCGATGGCGGCCACGGTGCACGACGGCGAGGTGCCAACGCCACCGCGGCGCACCGCGGCCATGGCAGTGCGTGGGCCGAGGGCAGAGGGCCTGGCCGAGGGCCCGGGGGGAAAGCGGACGGCATCGACGTGAAAGGCGTGCCGATGGCGCTCTGCTCTACGGATCGCGTTGCTGCGTGGCACTGCGTGGTGCCTGCACTCGCGCCTGCAGCTGGGTGGCCGCGCACCACGGAGCAGCGCCGGCCAACCGGGGCCACGCACAGGGACCCGAGAGTGTCCCCAGCCGGTCCGGGCCGGCCAGCGAGGCAGCGAGGCAGCGCGCACGGAGCGGGGCAACACATCGAGCACTAAACAAGCGGGGAAATGGGCCAAATGAAAGGTTACACGCGTAATGAATCCCAGTAGTGCGTTCCCCGGGCGGCCAGGCCCGGCCCAGGCACGGCCAGCCCGGTGGGCAATCTCAATCACATCTCTCTTTCTCTCCCTCTCCCTCTCTCTCTCTCTCTCTCCTTCCCCCTGCGCACGCTACGCACTCGGTCCGGCCGAGTCGGCCCGACAGTCCCTGCTGAATTTGCTCCAATTAGCACGACGCCACGCCGCGCCACCGCGTAACGGGTGCCGGTGCGATGCACACGCACACACACAAACACACGCGCACAAACACACGCGCACAAACACACGCAGGAGAGCCAAAAGCAGCCCTGCCGCTGGGAAGGCCGCGGCCGCGCGGCTCAGAATATCAGGAAACGGCTCAATTTGGAGTGAAGCCTGAAGAAGTGGACAGGGCGGTGACTAGTCCGCCGCGATATCGATGCAGAAAGTGAAGAAAAAAAACCTCAACAGCAATTTCTCGCCAAGAAAAAAAAATTACAACGTCCGTCTCTGGTTTTATAAGCGTGAAAAAAAAATAGAAAAAAAGGCGGGTGATTAAACTGGCCGTTGAATCTTAAACGAGCAGACGAATAGTGAACTCTTTGAAAAGAGATCGCGGAAAATGACGTGTTTTCACCCGTTTATGAAGTCGTTTTTAATCGACGCTCATCGACTGTCCAACCGGGCGACTCTGAGGAAGAAAAAAAAAGTTGGAGCAGGTCCTCAGCAGCCATCGTGTGGCGTGGCCAAAGGCCCGCGGGGCTCTAGCCCGGGGCGATGCGGCGATGCGGTGACCGCGGCGCGCGCCCTTCGCAGCGCATCGCGCTTTGCAGCCTTGATCCCATTCATCAGGGCTGCCATCCAACACTAATTACCGAGGACGAGGCTCTCTCCGAGTCAAAATCGGAACGGGCCCTGCTACGCCCTGCTACGCCACGCCATGCCACGCCATGCCACGCCATGCATGCGAGTGGGACCGCGGCCAAGTCCCTGCAGGTTCCAGGCTCCAGGTTCCAGGCCGGGCCGGGCCGCGGGCCGCAGGGGAGTGGGAGCGGCGACCGACCTGCCAGCTAGTTTTAGCCTCACTCGTTGTGGTAATCCCCATTTTCAGTCCCTTTATCGCGGTAAAAAGAAATGGCGATAAAAAGCCGAGCTTTTTGACGTGTTATTCCCGACCGCCCATTCATAAAACTGTTGGCAGTGAAACGCGACGAGGATCTTGCTTTCCGCGCCATCATCGCCACGCCGAGTATTGCCTCCAGCGAGTGGCTCCGGGCCCGGCGCCTCCAGGCCCAGCGCCTAGCGCCTGGAGCGACAGGTCCGTTATTGGCCTGGCGGGGCGGGGCGGGGCGGGGGCTCCATGCTACACGACAGTAGTATGACGGTGCGAGTGTGCAAGGCGTACAGTGTACAGCACGGCATCAATCACCACCTCGAGTAGAGTTGCCACTCGTCCGGAGCGGTGCGGCCTCCTCGCCCGCCGCTCCAGCCCGCGGGGGAAAAAAGGCCGGCACGCCGCGCCGCCGCGCCGCCATTCGGACATGCAGCAGCATCAGCAGCAGCCGTCACCCGCAGAGACAACGAGACGACGGCACTCCAGAACAACAAAAAACGGAACGCACCGCGCGTCACTCTCGTTGTGCAACGCCACGCCGCGCGCCACGCAACTTCCGGGGTCGAACGACGCCACCGGCAGAGTCCACACCCAGAGCTCGGCAAAAAGCGATTCCATACGTCAGTTTTTACCCCCGCCCCCACCCCTTCCTCTCCGCGGCCCGCGGTGCGCGCCGTGCCCCCGTTTTTATTCCCGAGCGGCTCGCGTCTCGTTCATGAAGGGCAGCAGGCAGCAGGGATGCGGGCCGGGCCGGCCGGGCCCGGAAAGTCGTCCACAAGTACGTGCGGAAGTCGATGGGCCCGCTCACACACTCACTCACACTCACACACTCATGCGCGGAGCACGCGGCCCGGTCTCCTTTTTCTCGGCGCGTCTTCGGTCCGTCTGCCTGTCTGTCCGTCCGTCCGTCCGTCCGTCCGCCAGAGCGCGTCCGCGGCGGACTGGACTGGAATGCACGCCTTCTCGTCGCGGTGCTCGCGGGGCGGGGCGCTCCGCCGCCATCCACCGCCAGATTTTCGCTGCAGTTGGGTGCCCCGGCCAAACCATCGCTGTGTCTCTCCCGCGCTCCTGCGCAACCCCCCACGAGTCCGAGGGAGACAACACAATCTGGTTTGAGCCTTGCAGCCTCGCCGCGTGACAGTCGGCACTGGGGCAAGCGCGGCGGCAGCACCGGTGCGGCTGCCGAGTCCGACATCTGCTTGGCAGGGGCCTCGTTCACCCGCGGCGTGATGCAGTGCGCGCCGCCCCCGCCGCCCCCGGTGCCCGTGACCCGGGCCAGCGACTTGATTCCTTATGGGCGGCGGGGCGCGGCCTTGGCGGGCCGCCAGGTAGCGCGGGCCGATTCCGCACAGTGTGTTGTCGCTCCGTCTCTCTCGCACCCTTGCGGAACGCCTGGTGTGTGCGAGAGAGACAGGACGATGGAGATAGCGTTCGGGAGCAGCCTGCAGGTTGCAGCCCCAGCCCCCCGGCTAGCCTCGCTGCCAGCAGTCCTGGCGGGCTGGGCCGGCCCTGCTGGCCGGGGCTGGGACGGACGGCGGCCTTGACAATCAGCACACGGGGCTGGCGGCTGGAGCGGCTGGCGGTGGCGGGCGGGTCGGAATGCGTCGCGCTGTCGCGCTTGTCGCCACGTCCCGCCCGTCGCGCGTCCGTCCCGCACGAACGTTCCAAATGGGCTGTCGCGACTGTCGCGAGCACAAAGCGGAAACGGCGCCGAGCCGATACGCATTCAAACGGCGGGGCGGCGGGGCAAATACAAAAGCAAAACACGGCGATCAGGGACACAAAAGGCTGCCAATCAGCCCCGCCCCGGGCGGCTTGGCGCGGTGGCGGCGCGGTGGCACGGAGTGGCGTGCTGCGGCGAGGCCCTCGGCGTGCCGTCGGCGTGCCGTCGGCGTGCATGGCGGCATCATCGGGGAACCCTTTCACTGCGCGCCGCGCGCCGCCGGCTGCCCGGAATAGGACTTTCCATTTCCGCTGCAACTTTGTCTCTGACCCCGCAGCCCGCCCCGCCCCGCCCCGCCGAGTGGAGCCGAAAAGCCGCAGCCATCCGGGGGGCCGAGCCGAAGCCGAGCCGAAGCCGAGCCGAAGCCGAGCCGAAGGCGCAAGGACGCGGCGAGACCCTTCGGCCCTTCGATTGCGGTTCGGTTCGGATTCGACTTGGCGGATCGGCGAGGCGGGCGCCGCCAACCGGTCGGCAGGCCGCCGCGTTCGCTTTTATAATCTCCCGGGCCGTAACTCAGAGCCCCGCGCGGCGCAGCTCGGCGCAGCGCGGCGCGTGGCGGAGAAACCCGAAGCGACGAGGCGACGACTTCCCCTCAGCTTCCAGCGAGTGCGTCGTGGAGGCCCGGCCGGCCCAGCCCACGCACGCCGCGAGAACAGTTTCGCCCGGGGACGGCGACGACGCCGTGCTACACTGCTACACGGCGCGGCAGCGCGGCTACTACCCGGTACCCCGTTTTATCGCCAAATCAATCTCGTTGACTTTCGAGCCACTTTACTCTCCCAAACGGAAATAGTTGCACGCGGACTCGTGCTGCCTGTTACACTACGCCCAGTCCAGCAGTCTGGCGGGCTGGAGATGGCGCGGTGATCGGACCGGCCCGCACCGCCGGCCACTCCAAGCACAATCTGATGTGGGCGACTCGCGTGATGACGGTTGCTCGCATTCCCGCCGCGTCGACGACGTCGCCTGAGCAGGAAAACGCCCGGGTGGCGGCACCCACACCCCGCCGTCCGCGCTGCGTTATCCGCGAAATAAACCCGCCTCCGACCACACAGCGGCCGGCCGGCGGGGCGAATAAACTCGCTAGGCCTCGAAGCTGCAGGCGCGAGGCGTGTAAGCCCGGTAGGCCATACGCGCCGCGACGCCGCAGCCCCGCAGGACCCTGGCGCCGAGGCGGCGAGGGCGAGTAAAGTGCGTTCGCGTCGTAAATCGCCGCTACACCGCTTCGTTGAGGCGACACCCCGCGCCGGCCGCGCCCCGCCAGCCGCGCGCTGCAGCGAGGTGCCAAGGAAAGGCGGCCGCTACGCGAGTCACTAGCACCGCGACGAGGGCCCAGTCCTCGTTGCTCGGACGTGTCCCGCAAAATTCGGACGGGAGACCGACGGCCCATCATCGTCCCTGTCTAGGCGGTGGGCCGAGCCGGACCGCCCGTTGAGAACACTGGTGATCGGACCGGCCCGCACCGCCGGCCACTCCAAGCACAATCTGATGTGGGCGACTCGCGTGATGACGGGTTGCTTCGCATTTCACCGCCGCGTCGACGACGTCGCCGTCGGAGAAAACGCCCCTCGGTGGCGGCCACCCACACCCCGCCGGTCCGCGCTGCGTTTTAT